ACAAATACATGAGTTTGAGCAGTTTTCATTAATACTGGTTCCAATTAAGGTGATTACATAGGACTTGATATGGTAGTATGCCTCATCGTCAGAAAATTTGAGGAGGAAATTTGGTTTAATTTCATCCATGAATCTCTATATACAGTACTCTATATACAGAGTAGACATCGGTGTCCTAAATACAAATGGGCCTCATTCAAAATACTTTGACTTCATATGTCTGAATGATTTGGTTTTATTTGAAAAAAAAAAGGATACTATATAGACTTTGATTTAAATCTCCAGATCCAACAGCTCTAAAGTGCGTTTCCCGACAGCAGTTAGCCAACAATGGTCGCAAAAAAATTTGCGACAATACAGTTTGGACTAGCTAGTTGATTTCTTCAACAATGCATAATACTACAGTAGTTACTGTAAGCACAGAGTTGTGTCATTGTTCGGGAAATGCACCAAAGATCAATAAAAAGTAATGTGACTTAGCCAATGTTAAAAAGTTAATTTACACAAAAAATGTGTAACAAACGACTTCCTAACACTTGGGTAGATCTCCCCTTTTAATTCCACTGTTTTCATTTTCTACCATTACATTTAGTGTTTCAACATAACTTAATACAAAAGCTTATTTTTGCATGAAGATAAAACTACATTTGAAGACTTACATAAACATTTTATTTTTATTTTTTTAAATCGATGCATCGATGCTCTCTCCAACCATTCTGGGCCATCTGGAATTTCAGAACAAAACCAAAATGCAACCTCGCAAAATTCAGTCCAGCACCAACACTATTCAACCGGCGCGAATGAGACGAGTGAGTGAGGGAAGGGAGGGTGTGTGTTTCACCGTGGGAGAGAAGAGAGAGCAAGAATGCGCAGCTGTTATTAGTGTATCGATACTGCAGAAAAAGAGTTTTGGAACCGTTTCAGATATTTCAGTATTGAAATATAGATATTTTTTATAACACTAGTAAGAACTATCTTTCATCTTCAGGTCATAAGGTTCTATATTTTTTTATCTCCAGGCCTACTTCAAATCAGCAGATTGACATGACACAGGGTACTAAATGATTTTATGAAGTCCCATAAAGGAGTGAAAAAAAATGCAAAATGCAAAACAAATGAATGCAAAAAAGCTCTGTAGAACAGACTCAGTTCCAATAAAAAGTTCCTATTATCATTCCTTTATTGCTCATTTACCCCCCTTATTTTCCTTCTTTCCTTACTTGACTGAGTAATTGTCTGGAATGCATTTCCAGTCACCCGCCCTGTTTTCTCTGAGTGCTCAATGTAATCTATAAGTCAGACTGTCATAGCTGTTAATGTCTTTATTATGGTCTTTACACTGGAATGGGCTCAGGCAATAACACCAGAGATGACTTCCTCTCTGTGAGCCGAGAGGCATGTCAAAGGAAGATGAGGAGACAACCACGGCCAAAGTCATATACGCAGTTCTTTGTTATTTTACAGCTGATGGATGTACAATACTAATGGTCTGATACTCTGATAAATGTTAAACATTGTCAACAGAAGTCCTATAAAATAAAAAGAAAGGGAAAACAAAGCAGTCCAGATGCTAGAAGGCAAAATTAAGTCTCTATGCCCTGTGTTTGCCCCCAGAAGACTCTGGTGTGAGGCACTGAGCTGAGAGAAGGAAGGGCACACTGATGCTGAGAAACAAAAAGGGCAAGTGGCCAAAACTGCAGGGAGAGGAGGCACACAAACACACTCAGCATTCAGCCAGCTTACAGTCTCAACTCTGCCAATTACCACTCTGCACAACAGTAAACAGTCACCGCCCACTTTTTTAGCTGCTTTGGTTCCAGAAACATGATTTCTTTTCTATACCAGATTTTAACAAAATACTTCAATAAATAGTATTTACAGCAATACAGACTTTTATTGAGAAGTAAAAAAAGAAAAAGTATATGAAAATCAGAAAAAAAGGTGCACAAATCTGTAAACATTTCATGATGGAAAACCTACAATCCCTATGTTATCACTTTAAAAATAAAATTTTATATTCACTGGTGAATGAACAATAATTGTATAAAATCAATATATTTTACATTTCTATTACATGTAAAATATAAATATTCTATATAATTCTACATAATATTCACTGAATATTACTACTTAATTAACTACTGTTCAAAAGTTACGATTTTTTATTTTTTATTGAGTCTCTAATGTTTGCCAAGGTTTCATAAAAAAAAGTAAAATTGTATAATTACAATTTTAAATACTTCAAAATAATTAATTCCTTTGTTGGCAAAGCTAAATTTTCAGCATCATTCCTCCAGTCTTCAGTGTCAAAGGATTCTTCAGAAATCATTCTAATATGATGATTTGCTGATCAAGAAACATTTCTTATTTCCAATGTTGAAAACAGCCATGCTCCTAAACATTTTTTGTGGAAACTGTGATCCACCTTTTTTTAGTGACGTTTGAGAGTGTAATTGAGTCGATCACCCATCATTCACAAAGCTTCATGGTAGTGGGCGGTCGCTGAACAGCTTTCGAGTTTCGACCTTTTGTTTGCAAGGATTTTGTGATTGCATCTTTCTCTGTACAATTATGGGGTGTTGTGCTTTACAAGGAATTTATCATTGAAATATCTTTAAAAAAAAAGCGTCAGATCAATAACTTCAGAGCTCGGTCATATTTCTCTTTTGAGAAAATTAAAGGGACTTTTACGTTCATAACACTTTTATTTTTGTCATGATTCAAGCAATATTCAACTGTTCAAATCACACCTTGTCCAGAAAGATTTTGTATTTACTATAAAAGAAAATTAAATTGGGAATAGTCCTTTATAAAAAAGTGTGTTTAATCCCATAAATTGAACCCAGAAAGCTTCCATTTAAGCTAGTTTATTCAAGCTTTCCTAAGGCAATAATCAATCCACATGAGTCCTTAAGCATGGGTGTAATATTCGTCCCTGTCACTGGTCTCTTTTACTTATCTCTAGCAAACTGATGCACTGAAGCTTTGCTATGAAACGAATGACCCAGAGCAAATGCTCTGTCAAATTTTTTACCGCAGCCCATTGATTAATTTTAATGTTTTAAAACCAGTGCAAATTTTACACCCATCCTTTGTTATACTAAATTACCCCATGTCTACATGAGCAGTCAGGGCAGTCGCTTATGATGACTCTACAAATTTAAGTAATCAATTTGACACAGAACGGTGCAAGAGAGACAACCGGCTTAGCTGAGTTACTGAGAGCGTGAGAATGAAAGTGTGCCTATTAAAAGGTAACCTTCCCTTATATCATCAGGCAAAGAGGCTGTGACACAGAAGGTGATGAAGTGCTACGCTTCGAGTTTCTTATTCTCTCCCTGGCTTTCCGGGTCAGTCACTTCACTTAATATGGGCTCCTCTGAAGTATAATTCCTTTCTTCAACCATTGACAATCTCTGGAAGGACTAGAATTGCACCACTATCTTTTGGCGCTTTTCCACTACACATTACCAGCTCGACTCGGCTCACCGTTGTTTGGTTTTCCGCAGTGTAAAAGTTGAACCTGTACCTGCTTTCTGGGACTTTTTTCACCAATGACGAGGTTCTGAGTGAGCTGAGACGATACTAAAATGTGACGTGAAAACAATGCCGACTGCTGATTGGTCAGTTTGGCCAGAGATGGTTACTAAACTTACTACTATCATTAGGCAACTCGGAAGAATACGCTGTGGTCAAACAAGGAGGTGCAGACTTTCCTTTGTTTGGTTGCCGAAAAGAGTATCCAGCGAGAGCTTGATGGGGCAACAAGGAACGAAAGGCGTCACTATGACGACCGGGTAATATTTGTGGCGGTTCTGTCTGCAATGGAAAACGGAGCAAAAAGCGAGATGAGTCGGGTCCAGCTGTACAGGTAATGGAAAGGGCCAATAGATCGTCGCCGTAATCATATTTATTTGGCTTAATGTTTCATCTGTAGAAATGTTTCTCTCAGTTGTTTATGTGCGGAACCATGCTAAACTCAGGCAGGAGTTATGAACACATAATATGATTGACAGCTCTAGAGCGAATGAGCTCTCTGACTCATAACAGACAAGCATGGAAGAAAACAGTGCTGTGTACACTGTTTTAAGTTCTTCAGATGGCATAATTAAGTGGAAAATGAATACAAATGATAATATGTATAAAGAACATACAAATAAATCTGTTCTCAGACACCAATGACTACAAGAACTCGATCTGATCTCTCTTCCAGAATACTTTTCTTCAGTGTTTACAAAACAGCACCACCACTCTCACACTTTTGTGCAACAGCAGTGGCTCAGGTAAGCTCAAATCTAATTGGACGGCTCGGCATAGAGGAAAAAACAAACAAAAGAAACCAAACAAAAAACTTTTTTTTGCTTTGTCGTGCTGCGATTGATCAGTGTGAATATCTCCATAAGGATCTATTGTTTCAATTCAAGAGCAAAATTGCGTCATACTTTTGCGTCATTTAATCATGTTCATGTGAAAGGCTCCACATTTAACCCGAAAAGAGAAGATTTAAGGGGTCCTTGCAGTTTTCTGCTAAAAAGCTTGATGGTTTAACGTTTGAAAATAAAAACAGCCAGCCATAAATATTAGTGCTGTAATTTTATAAACGTATTAGAAAATAAAATTATCAGTTGTTAATATTATATGATTTATAAAATATTCTATTTACAGCAGAAATATTTCTTGTTTATCTTTTAAATTTGAATAATTAAATTGTATTATTATTATTATATAATTATATTGATATATAAATCACACAATAAGCACAAACAAAAACACGAATTTTAAATATCAATTTCTAAATTTTTGCACCCAAATCATGCAGGCCTAGTACCATGCGTATCATCAAAACTTCTTATCAGAAAAATAAATAAAATCACAGCAACTATCTCATTCAAGAAAAATGGCCAAATGTAATCATCAATTTTTTCTTCACAAAAAACAGTGCAACCATTTAGTGAAATTCAGAGTACTTCAAGTAGGCAATAGAGGAAGAAGGCTCTTACTTTCTCAGGTGCTCGTGTTCTTTCAAGAAGAGCTCCGTCCGCCTGTTATTCACCCCCGAGCCACTCTTATATGTCCTGACAAGAGAAAAGAACGTTAATTAGCAATCAACCAGAAACATGCAATTACACAATCTTCAGACTGATCTCATGAAATGGCGTATGCATGTATGACACGCCAATTCGTATTTCCATTTTTGGCGTGCTATCAACACGCATAATCGCTTTTCAGCGTGTTTATGAATGCCAATGACTTAACATTACATCACTGTATATGTAAATATATGACCTACCCCAACCCCGTCCCTAAACCTACCCGTCACTGGGGTTAATACCATTTATGAGTCTTCCCCTACCATTCTAGAAAAAAAAAAAATATCGCTCCCCAGATGTAGATCTACATTTTGATTCGTTTCGCTCTGACATTTAATGGCGTGTACATACACACGGAATCACTCGGACGTTTGACGACGGCATATACATATACAAGGATAGCTCAAAATGCGTATAGATAACACGCCACTTGACTTGAAAGTGGCATGTATGTCTACGCAAAACTCATGATGTCATGCTGTTATCTAATAGAAAGCCTGCCACTTCTGATGATGTGGGGGTTGGGTTAATATTGAGGGTTTTTCTTCATCCTGTGCCATGCACAAGCGCTCTCTCACAGAAAGTATTTAGTGTTAATAATGAATGAACACTGTGCTGGGAAGAATAGCCCTTTCCCAAGAGTTCACCAAAGAAAATAAAGGCTAAAAACACCCCCTCTGCTTGTGCAACACCAGCTAGGCTATTTTAAAAGACACACAATGGCCTGATAGCACAAATTAAAACAAATCTCCATCTCAGATGCAAGAGTTTATGAGGGTGGGGAAGGGTTGTAGGAAATGGCAGCCTCAAAGACGACCTCACAAGAACTAAACTCCACCTTCTGGTGGGCTTTTCATTGGACCTATTGTAAACAGACTGATGTAGAAAGGATATTTATCTAGTTTCTATGGGATTACACCTGCCCGCTGGTCAAATCAACTGCCAGTCCACACCAATCAAAGTGACAGGGTGCTGACAGCCAACTTAATCATTCCAACAAAGCTTTTAAGAGCAGTGCACTAAATCACACAAGGGACTTCGTCATTTATGCCAGATGACATTTCTACAGCGGCTGTGCTGCTGATCGATGGGGAGTTCAGAACCAGGAGGAGCACAACATGCACAGCCACGCATGGGACAAACTAAAGGAGTAAGGCTTCAGTAGCACAGCTGAAACCTTCACAGTCCTCACCACAGAAAGCAACTGGGAACGAGGACGCAAACACTGCTCTACATCGACTGGCAAATCCAGCAGTGCATTTCAAAAAGTGCATTATCACCCTCTGGGGGTAAATGCATATATTACAACTTATGATGTACAAGACCACTTTCTACTACTCTGTGTGCGTATACAGACAAAATAACAAAATTCTTAACACGTATTGTGCCTGCATGATAAGCAAAATAGTGAGCAATAGTGTGCTTAAGGTAATGTAAGCTAGCAACAAGACATACACTACCGTTAAAATATTTCATTGTGATTTAGGAGTACTCCTAGTGGTAAGATAAAATTCTTTGTGAATACGGACCCAGGTCAATAAGTCATTATCCAGCCCTGCAGTCATGATCTCATGGTTACAACCAGAACCACATCATATCTGTGCATGTAGAACCCTACAGAAAGCTTGCATTGTCTACTTAAATAAAAGTGTAATATTCCCATATCAGTTGAACATTTTAAAACCCATTCAGTGGATTTCCATTTACAATCTTATAAAAGTTTTCCTCCAAAATCACAACAGAAAATGAGAAAAAAATCTGTAGATTTCATGGGGGAGGGAACTATGAAGATCAGTCAGATTTCATTTCATACATAAGGTTTGATAATACAGATTAATTACACATTAGATGGGGTTGGTCTTCAAAACCTTTTTGGATGTATAATGTAATTTCAAAGAAAACTCACTCAATGTCTTTTCTCACAGATCCCAAAAGATCCTCTCTCTCCCTGATTGCCATGAAGTTTGATTTGGTTTTATGAAATTCATGTGTGTAGTCCTAGAGAATTAAAACAGAGTTGAAGAGGTTATAAATAACAAACTGGATCAGCTATATTGATGTTAAATATACAGGAACTGCTCTTTTATCTTGAGAATACAGACATCATAATAAATCCACAACCATTCAAAAGCTTAGGGTCAGTAAGCTTTTTTTAAAATGTTTTTTAAAGTCTCTTGTGCTCATTGCTCATCAGGGCAATTCAGTAATAACAGTGATATTGTGAAAAATTATTACAACTTAAAATGACAGGTTTAACATATTTTATACAATTTATTCTTTTGACGAAAAACTGAATTTTCAGCATCTTTACTCTAGTCTTCAGTGTCACATCATCCTTCAGAAATCACTCTAAATATTTGGTGCTTAAGAAACATTTCTTAATATTATCAACGTTGAAATCAGTTGTGCTGCTAAATATTTTTGTGGATACTTTTTTCAGGATTCTTTGATGAATAGAAAGTTCAAAAGAACAGCGTTTATTTGAAATGAAAATCTTTTGTAACATTAAACATATTTACTGCTACTTTTGATCGATTAAACATATTTACTGCTACTTTTGATCGATTTAATGCATTTAAAAAAACAAAAAAAAACACTTACTGACCCCAAACTTTTAATTGGTAGTCTATAATAATAGTTGGGCAGACAGCTCTTTGTGAACAATCAATGCCACTGATAAATAGCTGAGATTATTACGAAACCTACCTGTAGAATGTCTCTGTGCCTCTGGAGAGTGTGCATTAGAGCAGCGTTCAGAGACGTTACTCCCGGTGTGCTCGTATACTCAGCCATCTTGTCATTCACACCTGTCAGCTTTAAATGAGGGAAAGAAATATATATATTAGTATCAACCAAAAAAATCTTGTCGTCAATCAGCAGTTTAATGTACATGAGGATCAATAAGGGAGACTGTAAATTGCAATGTGTATAGCACCTAACACTAGCACGTGGAATTACATAGTTCTTACTTTCGCAAGTAGCTGCTCAATCTCTACTGACATGGTCTCAAACATTCTGTCCTGAGTGGAGTTACAGAGCAAAGGCGTTGTATCCGAATTACTGGAAACAGAGAGAAGAGAACCATTTTATTACCACCACCATCCTCATAATAATGATATCTAGAAAATATCAAAATTCTTTGAATGAGCTACTAAAGCAACATCACACCTGTCTCCTCTACGACCGTCCCGAGAGCTGCTGTAACTAGTGCACAGCTTGCTGAAAGACACTAGCTTCAGGTCCAGTTCATTCTCCAGCTGCCTCGCCTGCTTCCGCAGGTCTGTCAATGTGCAAAAATGTAAAGATTATGACATTCAGTGAATGATGTCAGTGATAATATACATTCATATTCATAAAATATAAGACTATAAAATGACAACACACATCAATTAGTATGCACTTGCATTACTTTCAGGGTTAGTGATAGCTTACGTTTACACTAGATGACAAAATAATACTAGAAAATGCAATAGAATTGCACACAACATTTCACTGAGAAAGTAATTTGGTAGTTACTTATATTTACAGATGACAAAACGTTCCCATCAGTCTACCTAGTCCTTTTTTTACATTTATTGTTTGTTAACTGTCTACAGTGTCTGACTGCTAAATGTGTTTTAGGTATCACAGGCAAACATTCAAACGGAGAATATGAAGTCCAACAGTGCTGTCTAGGAAGAAAGCTTACTCGATTTTTGAAACACAGCCTATTAGTTTATTTAGTTTTAGTGTAAAAGCTTGTTTCAGTTTTATATACAAACAGTTCTGTAACTTTTAACAGATTACACAAGTTCCTGCTACATTAAGTACAGAAAGACTCTATAAACTCGAGGAATGAAAGAAGTCTCGCTGTATTCCTCAGGTTTTCAGGCTAATAATGAGCACTGACGTTTCTGCGTTCTAGCGAGCTAATGCTAACGGCGATAGATAGTGTGGTAACCTGGCTGCGTTTCAATGAAAACGTTACCAAAGACTCTTTAGAACTATAAATTCGCGTGAACTGTCACAAAGCCCAATAAAGCTTTTGGTCAAGGGGCATTTGTAACGCTTTGCCACCTCACCTTCCCAATAGTTGCTGTTTCCTCCTGCCATCTTTGTTGTTGAACGTCATCCGCGGTGGTGTTGGCAGGGGCGGGGACTAGAACAAGAGCATTTCAACACACTCTCTACGCTGCGCTCCCTCGTCACAGCACCACCACGCGCTTTGCAGGAGAATCGCACGAGTTCCCGTTTATCTTTTGAAAATATAGTCCAAAATACAAGCGATTTAAACAAGTTTAAATATATCCCGTTTCTCTTATAATGTATAAAACATATCATCATATTCTGCTTACTACATCTAGATGTATATTGTTTTTTGTTTGTTTGTTTTTCATTCTTAATCCTACTTATTCATATGTCGTCTATTCTCTTGTGTACTGTAAGCTCCTGGAAACAGCAAATTCCTTTTGACACTAGATAACAAAATAATCTTAGGATAATAGCCTAGTAAATATGAGTTTCCATGTTGCTTTATCGTTGGAAACTGCATAGCTACAGTACCATAAAAAATACTGCATAACTCATATTAAAGAAAAGCACATGAAATATTCAGAACAAAGTTTCATCTTTATTTACATCTCATTTAATTACACACCATTCACCATTCAAAACACTGATGACGTCGTAGCAACAAACTGTTTGCTGGGCATAAACAGGTTTATTTGTGCAGTTCTTTCTCTCTCGAAAGGAATTGCACTTGTGTAATTTACATATAGTTGGCAACAATTCGATATGTACAATCATTGTAGTATAAAAAAAGAAAGAAAAATAAACATCAGCACAAACATAGAAAAGTTAGACACATTTGTTCAAAGTCAAACACACCCAAACATTTACATTCAAGCATGACAATCAACATCAAGCAACATTTAATTACGATTTTGTTGGTAATGGGATCAGCAACTAATTAAATCATAGACAATTTTCCCAATTATTTGCCCTGTATGAATGATCAGTCTGGCACAGAATGATATGAATTATACATAAAAACCTGAATCTTCCATTGAATTTTAATAGGATGTTAATAGAATTCTTTTTCATTCATTTCCTGAATATGTCAACTACATGATTGGTAGTAATGACCGCACTGCTTATTCTGATCTTTCTGTGATGCCTGAGAGTGGGTGAACAAAATAAATATTTTCATTGGATGGATCTTAAAACAAAAATAAATAATTTTTTTCTTCTTTTTTTTAAAAAATGAACAAAATAGGGACAACATTTTGAAGAGTGCACATTAAGACAAAAAAAAATACAAACACACAGACTAAACACTATCATGTCCAAAGTGGAGTTATTATTAAACGTTTCACCGTATTCCCCAGAATATTAAACAAGAGAAATGGGAAGGCAGTAAATGAGCACGAGTTTGTCTGCTATGTATCGAATGAATAACCTTTATAACTAATGTGCAATGGTGGTGAGAAAAAGCTTAAATGCAAATATCTACATTTAGCAAGTTCAAAAACCTCAGTCTGAGATGTTTAATGCTACTGTTTAAATCTGTTATACATACTTGCATGAAATACCATACTAATTGGATGAATAAATGGTATAATGTAAAATATTTGGGCCATTTCACTTGCTGTATGACAGCAGTCTGTTTATCATAATAAATTTATGATGACGCCAATGAGCAAACCAGATTCTCAAACCAAACGATTCCGGACTTTGACACGGGTCCACAGAGAAAAGGGGAAGAAAATTTCATTTACACTACAAAATTGTCATCCTCACAACTGCAGCGTCCATGCAACCTTAATTCTAACAAGGCACAGTGTTTCATAATCCTTTTAAGATGGATTGTAGCTGTTTGATTTCCTTTATAAATGGTAGTGGACCAGTATTACACAGACCTAGAAAACTAAGCAGGCTGGTTGAGAGCAATGGTCAATTGCATACACTACAGTGCGAAACGCTTGCCCGATTTCATCTGGGCATTAAAGTGCATCCCGCAGTGGTTCTCGGGATTTAGATGGTTTGGACAATAATGGTGCTGGCCTTGAGCGCCCTCTACTGGCCCTGCAGGCAGTGGACAGACTCAGAGGATGAGAAGGTCTTAAATTTTGTTGGTGTATAGTGTATCCTCGTCACTTTCACTCTCATCTTGAAATTCGTGGCTCAGGAGAGACTTTTTGGAGCCCATAGACATGAGGCGGATCTCATCATCATAGTCGTCCCTGTGCTGCCGTAGCCGATGGAATCCGTCCTTTTGTCTGTTGGACTTTGCTGAGCAGACGCACCAGATGATGCAGGCTGTCACAACCAGGGCCGTCATTGCGGCAGCTGTGGGATTGGGTGAAGAAAAAGACAGCCATTGAAAATTAGCATATCAACAAAGTTTTTCTTTTTTAAATGGCCTCTTGCCGTGAGCGATTTGATCTGCCTACCTGCACTTGCCACGACTAATTCTCTTGGCAGGCCAAATATATCGTTCTCCATGTCAAATTCGATAATAATGGAGCTTGCAGCTTCAAAAGGTGACACAGACACCTGAAAAGAACACAGGTACAGTGACAAAAATGTATGCATATAGATAGCGTTTCTCATTTAAAATGTATAGTATATTATTAGACAATAAAAATGAATTTTAAATTAGACCATCTTCTTCATTACATTGAATTGTACATTATACATTTCTGTTAAATTAAACTAAATGTTCTGTATTACAAATATTCACATAAAATAATCAAATAAAATGTATGGTATATAGGCCTATGTCACACTTCCTGCTTCCAGAACGCAGAGTAGGGGTATCAGATCTTCCGGTCAAAAGTATTTCTCGATAAGGATTTAGATTATCAGCCCTAATGTAAACCATCCGAGGTAGACTGACCACGAGCTATGAGGCTGTGAAACGAAGGTTTTTGCTCCTGTTGAAGTTATAAGTTTGTATGAAATCAACCTTGTTTAAAGAAAAACATGTTTTATCCGTGATCTTATGAATAAAAAATACACTACCCACAATCCTAAGCATAGTAGCAACGTCTGCTGATTGGTCCAACTTGCTGTTACCATAGAAACGTTTACCTTACTGGCTAGTGTACCGGGTTCTGTTACTCTGCATCAGAACGTAGACAGTCATTCCTCTTCTTTCAAGCTTTCCCACTTGAGAGTTTTCATTTACCATCTGAACCACATCGTCATAAGTGACTTCAGACAGGTTGCGGAGAGATTTGGTCCAGCGGTATCTATCGGACTCCACCATTGCAAAAAAAGCTAACCGGAAGAGCCGTATCCCTACTAAAAGACGTACTACCGGTCTTCAATTTTTTCGTGACATAGGCCTATTATTAGACAATTCAACTATCTCCATTATTATACTGCATTGCATATTATAGAGCGTGGTTAATATTGTGAATAATAAACAGGAAAAAAAGGAAGACAAAAAAAATGTGTAAAAAAACCCCAGCAAAAACAAACACTCACCTTCTGGGATTGCTGCTGGTAGCCGTCAGCCACCGCTTCAATATTGTGTAAACCAGGGGCCAGAAGGGCGTGGAAATATCCTCCCTCACCGGTGAAAACTCGAACACCACCATTCAATACTATTATAGCACCCACGATGGGCTTACCGTTCTTATCCTTGACCACTCCACGAACCCCTTTGTGCACCTAAAACAGAAGAACCAGCTTCAGCAAGGACTAGCTGAGATTCAGTGGAGGGTGATGAATAGAGGCAGAACGGACAACAACAGACTGACCTCAACCAGCATGCTCAGAAGAGACTTCCTGTTCTCGGCCCAAAGCGTGGGCAGCATTTCAGGCAGTGGGAACAGGCAGCAGCTGGTGTAGACAGTCAACTCAGGACAGTGACCAAAGTCCACACTGAAGTCCTACAACATGGAAAGAAAGTAATCAGAGGGTCAGGGAAATTACTGAAGTATTAAGATTTAAAAAATTACTGTCAACTAGTTAGTAATGACCCAAAAATGGGGTTCTGGTCTGTTCTGATTGGATCGCAGAGAGCAGTGAAATAAGCAATGCTAAATGCAAAATATTAATTTAGAGCAGCAAAATGCTTCCCGTATCTTTTGTTCTTGACATCCAAATCTGTGTCCCCAATCAAACTTTATGGTGTGCTTGCACACATTTGTGTCACTTGGAAGAAGCTAGCCATATTAGACGGATACTCAAAATTAACCGGTCTACCATTCAAAAGTGTGGGGTCAGTACGATTTTATTTAATAGAAAACGCATTTTTTTGCAAAATACTGTAAATACATTTATAATGTAACAAAAGATTAAAACGTTATAATAAATGCTGTTCTTTTAAACTTTCTATTCATCAAAGAATCCTCCAAAAAAGTCATGATTTCCACACAAAAATTTAACTCCACAACTGCATAATAAATAAATGTTTCTTGAGCACCAAATTAGCATATTAGAATGATTTCTAAAGGATCATGTGACACTAAAGATTGGAGTAATGACTGATTTGCCAACACAGAACTAAATTACATATCAAAATATTTTGAATTTATTTAGAATGGCAATAATATTTCACTATATTACAGTTTTTACTGTATTTTGATCAATACTGCTAAAAAAATCTTACCAACCCCAATATTTTGAATGGTAGTCTATGCAAAGTACAAGAAAATCCACAATACAATAAACAGATTAATTTGCAACTTTTATGTGGTGAAATATTGGCTGCTGACATTTCATATTAATAATGATTAATAATAGCATATTGTTAAAAATGTTAATAATAATATAAATACATTTACATTTTAAAATTTAAACCTTTTAATATTTTAAAAGAAAGCTTTTATTTCTTATAATCAGCAGTTTTAGTACATTGCTAGGTTCTGAAGCAAAACCAGTTTATAAGCGGTATTAATGCATGTTTCAGTGATCTGTTCTTCCCTGTTAAGACTTCGGCTTTTAAACTACCTTCATGCTTCCCATGTGACTGTGCCACTCTGCTGCTCGAAGGACACCATCAGGAATGTTGCTCACTGGGGGAGACAAGGAGAAAGACAGAAATAATTTATAACATCAACCTAAAAATGGTTCATCTACCTATAAATTTAACAGAGCAGAAGCTCTGAAATTGCTCACTGAGCATGCTGAGCATTTTTTTGTTACTAAAGAGATCAGTTGTTTTAAAAACTTGAAGTATGAAAGAAAATCAGCATACGTTGGCTGCTGTTTGGGCATCCAGTATTGCCCAAGTGCATTGTAGGATGGTTTTTTGCATACACAGTAGCCAAATATCTCAGCGTATCGTCATTTTCGACTGTTATTAAGAAACAAGGGGGGGGAAACAAAGAAATAAACAAATCAGAACACAGATGCAATAAATGTGTAATTTCATAAAGCAGAGGATGAGTCAAAACATACCAGATTGCACTGGTTTGTCATATGGGTAGGTGACCAGAACAGAGCCTCCATCCAGAGCCACAGAGAGAGAGAAGCCTTTTTCCTGGATCAGATCCATCACAGCGCGCGTCTCTGGCTGAGGCTCTGCATTACGCTGAGAAGCATTCCCTACAGAAGGACACATAAACAGTCAGGCGTCTTGTAGACTAAGCAGTGTGGACCGTTGTCATTGACACACACGTTATTGAAATGTAAGGTATAATTTGAATGCAATCCCACCGAAGAAGTCAGTGTCAAGGTCCTTGCCGTGAAAATTGTTCATGCCAACAGTGGAGGTGCAGTCTTTCTCTTTCGCCATCTCACGTCCATCTGGGTTGATGCTGGGCAGGATAACAATTCTGGTCTCATTTATGAGCTAAAGAAAGAGGTACAGATTAACCTTCATGTACTTACATTTAAATTATTCTGGTTGGTTTCAACAAAATTAACTTGGCTTGAAATTATATACTTGACTAATAAGGTAAGCTTTTACAGTCATTTTCTGTGGTAATCAATAACACGAATGCTGTCAATAACCGCAGAAAATGAATTTGACTTGTACTTGGAGGGAAATCTAATTAAAATGAGACTTACAATAGTCTAAGTCTATAGGATAAGCATGGCATATGCGTTTATCTTTTTTTTTTGTTATCATATGTGATACATCAGGCTTTTATGGCTCATATAGTATGATATAACAAATATGGAGATCATATTCAAGAAGGGGGGAAAACAGCTACATTTTTTTCATCAAAAACATAGTTTATATTTCCAAAAAGTAAGAGGAAGTTCCGATTGTGATGTAAATGAATGAGATCTTTATAACAGTAAACACTCTATACCTCCCAATAATACGTCTTAGTAAGATGATATTTAAATGCTTAGTTTTATGATCAGAGCTCTAAAGTTTTTAATTGTGGGTGTGTAGAACATATAATTAAATGAAATACAAGATATTCTTAAACTTAAAAGTATGCTTTTAGAATTATACTAAAAGACATTTTACTTGCTAAAAAGTATGAAAGACCAATCAGATGATAGAAGGCATGTAGCTAGCAGATTGTGAACAACAGGTTTTTCAGCAGAGTTTTGATCATATTGATAATTTAGAGGCTTTAGAGATTTGCTCATCAAACATGACACATCAGGCTTTATATGAAACATTTTTTATAGATAGTTGAACTTGTATTTAACCCAAAGCATTTCTTATTGCTATTTTGTTCTTAAATAGTGTTGTTTTATGCCCAGTGGAACAGGGTTACGTTTCCCAAAAATATCATTAGCCAACTATGGATGCAAGTTCCGTTGAATTGCGTTGGTAGTGATGGAACTTGTGACTATAGTTGGTTTTGGGAAACACACCCCTGGTTAGGAGGATCATACAGTAACCATCAAGGGCATAACTTTTGCACAAGAAAAGCAACTCACCTTGGTGATGGCTGCATTTTTGCCGTAGTTAACACAGAGACTGGCAGCAAACTCCAGAAGCAGCTCCGTGCCCACTGGGGCATTACCATGGATACCTGCCACAAACCGGATCTTGGGCTCTGATGGTTCTTGGACTTTAGGGTTGTTGGAGATCTCCAGAGCCCAGATGGTTCTGAACTCCACACTTTGACCAAGACTTCATATGGGAAAAAACATTTATCACATCAGTGCAATTGTTTGACTTAAAGGTGCCATATGTAATAATTGAGGTAAAAATATCCCAAAAATGAGCTACACGCATCAAAAGAATGAGAAGAAATAAGTGCAATGATGTAATTAAAAACCTGATAAGTTATAGTGCTGCCGAGATATAAACCTAAATTAGCATGCTAAATTACTAACCCCGGCCCGGCAGGTGTCGTAATACCAGTTTCGGCCATGCGAGGGGGTATGCGGGGCGGGCAACATTACCACCAGCCAAACTGCAATAGACGAGTAACTCGCGCGGCTTGTGTGTGTACTTGAACCTGATGTCAGTCGTTTGGAAATACAGCCCAATACTACATTTCAGTTCAGGGAAGAGTTCAAAAAATGATTGGTCGACATTATGCATGAGGAATACATTTTGGTAAGTTGTAGCATACTGTATCTTTCAACAGAGTTCGTGTTCTTTCCATTAGCTAGTAACGTTAGAGATGATCGGTTCATATGCGCTAGGGATCTGTCGTGTAACATGTACAAGCGCCAAAACGGTATTTATTGTTTGAATTGCCTAATAAAATTGACAGAATCGGAGAGCTTAACTAACCTGCTTGCTAAGTGTTAACTGCATGTGTCTCACGGTGAATTTGTGAGAGTTGGCAGCTCTGAATGGCGCTAGCTTGATCAACATCAGCGAATGCTGTCTGTCAAATTAATTCAAACTAACAATAAAAGTGTAATATGAACAAAACGAATACCGTAAACTTAAAATAATAGCCCGCAGGCTTTTATTTTCCCATATCGTCAAAATGCACCAGCTTGTTTTTGAGACAGGCGTCTATGAGATGGTCTCTGATCTCTAAAAAATCTCCAAATGCTCCACGTGAAACTGCGGTCTTCCGACCTTTTACTATCGTGTCAAATGATTTGAATAATATGCGGAGAAAGAGAGCAAAACAGTGCTCGCTTGTGTTGTTTGAAGACGTGAGAGTGCGCGGCCGCGCCACAACACATTTTCTGGAGGTATACTGCCCCCATCTGTTATGGAATATGGAATATTTTTTGATTTTTAGTTCCAGATGGCACCTTTAACAAAATGTTTTACTTTAGTTACATATTTTAATCCATTAGAAACTGACACAGACTGTTACAAACCAAATGCTGAAATTACCATAACAGTAGCATTCAAAAGTATGGGGTTGTTAAGCTTTTATAATGTTTTTGAAAGAAGTCTCTAATGCTCATCAAGGCTGCATTTATTTGATAATATTGTGTATATGTACAAACAGTAATATTGTGAAATAAAACAAGATATAAAATTTAAAGCTGCAGTTAAAGTTTTTATGTTATTTCCTCTTTGTCACCATCTCTGTTTGAAATCTGCAATTGCAGTCATTTGCAGAATTACCAACTTTATGTGAGTTGTACCTCGGCACGGCACAGCACGGATGAATTCAAATTTTCAAAATTTTCAAATTTTTGAATGGTACTGTACTTACCTCTTCCCTGGTTAGTTATTTAAACGTTGTGACATTAAATTTGATTCAGCACAGACTATGATTTTCAAAAATTACTTCTGAGACTAAGTTACACTTCACACAGTAACTTCATTGTGTACTGAATGCAGAGAAATTAATCTCTCTCATTCCCAAAGAATCGCCCTTTGGGGTTTATGGTCACAGAAACACACAGGATTCAGTTCAGGCATGTCTGCAGAGATCAGATAAACTGACTCATGCTTTTGTTCAATTTAACAGGTGTTCTCTGAGGGAAAAGCATGGCACACATGTAAAAAAAAGCTTTCCAGAGAACTTCTGTGTTTAAGGTCCCTCACGATCATGGAGTTTGTTAACACTGAATCCAACGTGCAAAATGTCTGTGAGATGCATAAGAGATCTGTACCTGTGAAGTGAGGTAATCTCCGGGAAGTTCAGGGTGAGGCTGCGCAGGAACTCTGAAACTTCGCTGTACCGTCGATAACGGAAGCTGCTCTGGGTGGGAGTGTCCTTGATCAGCTGGTCTAGACCGGATTCTCCTGACAGCAGCTTGATGAGGTTCTGGAACTCCTTCACACTGGGATCCAGAATTGGCGTTGAGCCTTCCGTCTTCTGTCCAGTTGGGTAACTGTGTATCCGGGTCAATGTGAAATTAACAACCTCCACTCCTTCCTTAGGCACGTTGACATAGGTGCTAACTGATGAGTAGCTAAAAAGATGGAAAGAGAGAATATCAGTAATTTACAGTCTTAAAGCCAATTCACAACACAAAGACAAACGCTTGGCGAATCAGCGTGTTACCCCTGTTGGCATCTGTCTGGGTTTTTTTTCACCCAACTAAATATGTTCAATCAGAGTTTGGGGCAGTCTGAACATGACAGTTATTTTTCATATTGTTTGTTGGTGTTTGTCTGTGCGCTGTGAATCTGCCTTTATGCAAAAAGGAAAATATTAAATAAATACCATTGATGCTAAAAAACTCTTTATAATGATACATACATAAATATAATGATTATTTATCTAAACTAATTGTAAATGATTGCATATCAAGTATCTGTATATGAAAGTCTCTATATATGAAAATAATTCAAAGCTATTACATTATTGTTGCAGTCAGATAAGTAAAACTTTTAAAATACATTACAAAACGTGGCTTAATAAGTTGATATATAGTTACCGTATTATAGTTACAAATATTTTTGTTGTTTATACATTTATTACTAAACAAAAGCATATCACAACATATTTAACGGCCTCTGTAAGCTTCCATATGTTTTAATTTGGTGCTACAGTTAGTGCAGAAAATTCATGAAAGTACCCTTGGGCAGAGACTTTCAGAAGGTATTTTCCTGGGACGAGTAAGCGCCAGTAATCTCCTGCGATGTTGGATGTGATGGAGTGATTGATCGAGTCCACAGTGATGGTCGCATTGGGGATGCCAGATTCATCTTTGCTGTCGATTACCATTCCTTTTATCCCACGGTGGACCTGAACATTAAACAAATCATTTTATAAGGTGTGTGGCAGAATAGAGATGAAAAAAATAAAATAAAGAAACAGCCAGACTGTTTGACCTGATGAATGAACTGCAGAAGTGATTTGCGGTTTTGTTCCCAATAGTTTGGCAGGTCTGTCGCTGGTGGGTATTTGTAACAACCCAGTTCAATGGTCACCTCAAAGCAGTTAGTGTTGACGTAGTTCCAATCCTGCATCCCTCCTGATGGAAAAGCACATAATGCACATTTATAGTTTATATTTAGGAGGGCTGTGCAAACATTAATTGCGAATAATCGCATCCAAAATAAAAGTCTGTGGTTACAGAATATATTTGTGTGTGGTGTATCTAATTATTTTGTATATATAAATACACACACGCATGTATATATTTAAGAAAATGTGTTATTCATATATATTATTATGATTATGTATTTATATAATATAGATTATGTATATATATATATATATATATATATATATATATATAGAATTTAAGCGCAAATAATTCTTAAATATATACATGCATGCATAGGTATTTATATATACAAAATAATTATATAGAGCACACACAAATATATTATGTAAACACAGACTTTTATTTTGGATGCGATTAATCGCAATTAATTTTTGCACAGCCCTAATATTTAGTTCTTATTGAAGCACTTTTTCATTTAATACAACTTTTTTCTGGATGTAATTTTAGGATGTCAATTTCAACAAAAGGCCATCTGTCCATTAGTCAAGTGTCTGTCAGTATGTCAACATAAAAAAAATGTCCTTTTCTAGTTATAAATTCCCGTAATCTAGCGCTCACCGTGGACATTGTACCATGCAGCGCCATTGGTGATGCCATCTTTAAAGTGTTCTTCGTACAGAAGCAGCTCCTTACAGGGCTGACCGTCATGCATTTGAGCGTTTTCCTGAAAAAAAAAAAAATGTTTTACAGGCCATTGATTTAATTTTTAATGATTAAATATTCTTAAAGGGATACTCCACCATTTTTTCATATTAAACTATGTCATTCCCTTAACTAAGACGAGTTGATACATACATACTCTCGTCTCAGAGTGTGCACTCAATCGCTCTGGCGCGCGAAACACTTTGATAGCACTTAACTAGCCCAGTTCATTCAATATGGGCCAAGCAGAGAAGTGACCTCCACGTTTTCCCTATTTAAATAAAGTTACAAGAGTAGTGTAACTCGACCAAGAATGGTGACACAAAATAAAACATTGCACTTTTCTACCCATGTAAAGTATGGCGGAATACCACAGCAAGTGCTTGGGAGTTCAAAAAATCAAAATGGTGGCGTATCCCTTTAACGACGTAATTTCATTTCACAGAAAAAAGAAAGCCAGATATTCACCTGAGAGTAAGCGAGAGCCAACATCCTGAACACGTCATCATCTGAGGACTTGCTGTATCTGACAACATCTTCTAGATTATCATCAAATGGATAGTTCACCACCAGAGAGCCTGATAGAGATTTATCTAGAGGTTATCCGTCTGTGTTTAGCATGCTTCCAATCAAACAGAACCATTATAAATTAGGACCTACCTCCATGAAGGTTGGCAGACAACACAAACGGGTAGCTCTTTGCCCAGTTCATAACAGCAATGGTCTCTGGCTGTCTGGGATCTGTGATGAGGTTAAAACGGTCAGGAAAGTTACGGTTCAGGTCATAGTTGTTAGAGTTGTTACGTCCCAGGATGCCATCAATATCTCCTGCACAAAATAGAGTGTTTTCGTTACGGTTCCATCTTCCTGCAGTTATTATGCTGCTCCAAGTCAAGTCACATTTATTTATATAGCGCTTTTTACAATACAGATTATATCAAAGCAGCTTCACAGTGATAACATGAAAATAATACAACACAGATCAATATTGTAGAATATTAAATGTCCCCAAAAAATAAATCAGTCTGTGGGAGCAGAATCACAAACTATGGGAACACAGAGAGAAAATAACAATAATAATAATAATAATTAAATAGAATTAATAATAATAATTAATCATTTATTTTTTATTATTATTGAAACATGTTGCCATTATGTTCTCATAGTTATGATGTTGCTCCCACAGACAGATTTTTTTTTACAAACATTACATAAATAAATAAAATGTATTCTTATTAATAATAATATTATTTTTAAAAACATGTTGCCATTCTGTTCTCATCGTTATTATGTTGCTTCCACACAGACAGAAACAAATAGTAATAATAATAATAATAAACAACAGTATTATTTTCTGTCTTTTTTGTTTGGGAGAAACATTACATCAATAATAATATTAATAATCTACTTATATAATAATATATTTATATTAATTATATTATAATATTGGTACAAACAGAATGATGAAAAAAGGCAGATACATTTAACTCTTTCCTTGCCAGTGTGTGTGTGTGTTTTTTTGTTTGTTTTTTTAGTGCCAGCATTTTCGATCATTTTCGCAAAATTTGGATGGTCCTCAGCATATTTTTTATGAATATCTGAACATGCCATATATCAAAAGATAGAACAGATTCTCTGCTTTTTTTTCTTTTTTTTTTTTTTAAAAGAAGCCTTTTCTTCTATCTTAATGCATTCTTTTTTTATCATCACTTGAATGTGGTTGAGTTTGATAAAAAAGCAACATTTTGAGCAAAAAGCTGAAAAAAATTGCATTTTTGTCAAAAACTACATCCAGATCGGATTCAGAAAAATGATCAAAACATAGATGGAGAAGATCCAAGTCCATCGTTTTTTAGAGTTGAGAAGACCTTACCTTCTTGGGACATTTCGTATCCATCCGGGTTCATTGAAGGCATGATGTGGATACGCGTGGAATCGACGAGCTGGGTGACTTCAGGGTCAGTGCCATAGTTGCGACACAGGTACTCGATGAGGTTGAGGAGCAATTCACGACCAACCACCTCATTGCCGTGCATGTTACCAATATACTTAAACTCTGGTTCACCTGGTAAGGAAAGACAGGGGTCAGTTCACTTTAGAAGTAGGTTGACTTCTAAAGATGTGTGTTAATTAAAATGACATAAAAATGGGTGGGAAGTACCTAACTCATGGACACCAGGATTGTCGGAGATCTCCATGACCCACAGGAGACGCCCCTGCACAGATTTGCCGATGTAATACAGTCGTGTGATGGAGCTGTACTCAGAGCTGAATTTCTTCAGGAACAACTCCATGTCACTGTAGGAATGATGGCGGAAGTCCTGGGGCTGGAACGTAACCCTGGAGCCCTGCTTTTCATCTGCTGCTGCTTTGCTGGTGCTGGTGCTGCTGTCATCTGAAGAGGTGTCAGTGAGGGACTCTGGGATTGAGAGGGTGGTCAGATTCTCATCAGTCTCAGCCACGAGGGTGATGTTCAGCTCAGTTGCTTTTCCCTCATGCACCTCCACCCCGTCCACGGACATGGGAACATAGCTACATAAACACAAAGATTGGGATAAAACACATAGAAAAAACACTTCAACCTGAAGGAGTCTCAGAGCATATTGTTAGTTGAAATAAATAACAAATAAAAGCCATTAGTAGGACTGGATATTGAAACAGATTTTCCCATTTGATTCTGATTCAATTATATCTCAATTGATTAGGGTATATTTCATGTACGTTTTATTTACGTGTGAAAGAAATTCTCTTTCTGCTAATACTGTAAATTATACAAGGCAATGTTTCATTAAAGGTACTGACTTTCTAGGGACATTGACATTTGTTTCACAAATGTTTCTGATTTGCTAAAAAAGAACCAGCTTATAAGAGGCATTTGTCTGTGAATTTGACTATATAGACCTTAGTCATGGCAGCAGCATATTTAATTTTGGACAGGAATGAAAATGAGGCAGAGAGGAGGGACAGAATTACAGTGCGTTCAAAGAATTGTACTATTGTTTAACAAACCAATTGTCCAGCTGATAAAAAATCCACAAAAACTCCATAAAACAGCTTTGAAAGTTGCATGATCTAGGGCCTTTATACTGAGCGTGACTGTACATTTATCCCTCACAGCCCTTTTCATTCGTGTTAAATTCAATTTGCTATCTAACCTGACTAAAGGTCCATTGATCATGATTTGGTTCACTAGGAAAAAAATCTGGTTCTTAAGAGTCATTTGTTCGAGAATCGGACTACACTGATCTGTTTTTGATTCACTAAAAAGAATGAGCTCATAAGAGTCACTTGCGTGTGAATCTGACTACATTGGACATGTCGAATTGTTTTTAAGAACTGGTTCATACAAGTCATTTTTTGAATTAGACTACACTGGTTGACTGCAACTATTTTTTTATTTTTTATATTAATTTTATAAAATTAACAACAGGGCCCAAACTCTGCACTTCAGCAGAAAACAGTGATATCTGCAGGACAGGCAACGCTGTACATTTTCAAACAGCAACTGAACAATGGCACTGAGTAAAATATCTTTTTTTAAATATCAACATTGGGATGTAGATGCTAGAATAGAACAAAAATTGTATAATTTAACCCAGCCATCAGGCCTCTGATAAAGGGATTTTCCTCAGAATATTGAATGCGTGTGTACAGTTTTCCTCATAAATATGCACTACATCATATTCCATACTTACCCCGGGGCTACAGCTGTGATGGTGTAGATGCCAGGCAGTAACAGGCGATAGTAGTCACCAAAGTGTGCAGTGGTCACATTGTGGTTGATGCCAGCAACCATTATCACAGCATCTGCGAGAGGGGCTTCATTCTTGGCGGCTCTCACAAAACCACGCACTCCAATATGAATCTGAGCACATACACAAGGCAGAAACTCTGAAAACGAAGCCACACTGACATTCTTGTAGGGCTCATTAAAAACTCACCATGCATGTCGTTGTTAGCACATCAAATTCTCTTACCTTCTCCATGTAGGCCAGCAAGGCCTCCCGATTGTTGTCCCATTCTGTTCTGAGTTGAGATGAGGGTGGGTACTTGCAGCAGCTGAGCTCCATAGTGATTTCCAAACAGTTCCCCTTTAGGTAATTGTAATCCTGCATACCCCCTAGTAAAAAGTAAGGACAAATTGTGTACCAAAGGCATGGGATGAATTGACATAGTGGGATTGTCACTGCTTAAACTGTAAACTTCTGCAAACACAAGGGACATCTCAATACAAAGAGTCTTTCAAAAGGTCTAATGTCAAGAATGTTTGGCCAGTTGCAAATGTTAGGAGCATGTAATAAATGTAGGGGTAGGAAATGATTCATGTAAGCCAACCTACTTTTATATCCTTGAAAAAACAACAAGCTCCAACCCATTTTAAGATTGATTTCAGAGAATAAAGAGCTGACGGGACGGATATGGGTTAGAATGCATAGGTTACATTGGTCTAAGGTAGAACACACTTTCATCTAACTTTTGGCGACTCCTTCAGATACCAAACCAATGCGGATTTTTTGAAAGTCTGTTTTCTATTTTAATATATTTGAAAGTGTACTTTATCCCTGTGAATTTTAAGCATTGTTACTGATTCTTCAATGTCACTTGAAGAGAAAATTCATACTTTTATCAATGTTGAAATCAGTTGGGCTGCTTAATATTTTTGTGGAAACCGTGATACTTATTAAGATTTAAGATTCTTTAGTTTGATTAATAGAAAGTTCAAAAAGGACAGCATGTACTTAAAATATAATTATTTTGTTACATTATTATGTCTTTACAGTCACTTTTGATCAATTTAATGTGGCAGATTCATGTACTTAAACGGTACCATGGCACTGGCAACACCAAGGTCATGGGTTTAATTCCCAGGGATAAAACATACAAAATTAAAGCTGTGGATAAAAGCATTTGCTAAAAGCAGAAATGCAAGAGCAGCCTATAAATGAAGACCCGTTTCTATGAATCATACAGAGCTCGAGGAAATGAGGATCAGAGGAAGCACATCTGTAATCTCTCACTATAAGAGCAGATCAAAACATCAAAATTCAACAAAATCAGCTCAACACATGACAAACTAATGGCAACTCGAGATGGCAATAAGCACTACTCAGATTGTGAGCTTTTTTAACAGCTAAAAGGTCTTGATTGTGAAAGACATGGACTTCTGCTCTTTTGCAGAATTGACTTTCTCGGACGGTCAATACAATTGCAACAGTAAGAGATAAAGCCGAGTTCATGCAATGTAATTTCAAGCTAAAAAGACAGTCCACTTGCCAATCATGGCAGTGCCCTGGGCAGCTATTTCCAGTCGTGCAAATTCAGAGGACAGACCAAAAATTCCACAATTGCTCGCAAGTTCGCAACGCTAATCGTTCACGAAGATAACAACAACAACTGAAACTGTTCAAGTTAGTCCGGATAATTCGTGAAGTATAGAGCAAGCCTAACATTGCCTAACAAGTCAAATGACTCTTGTAATCATGGGTGAGGTCAAATGTCTCTGCCCCATGTTTTCAGTCTTTCTATAATATGTGACACTGTATGCTACCAGTCTAGCATGTTTTTAAACGTGTCAGAAGCCCAGTTCCTCTGTTTCCAGAAGAAAGATCCTGTTTTTTAGCACATGATTATTTGTTAATACAACTAAGAAAAGAATAGGTTAAACTTTCTTATTAAACTATACTTCACTCTGGGGTGTCAACACAGAGTGTAGACAGCATTTTAATGTTGCATTTTAACCCTGGGGTCCTATGTTCAAACATCTTATGTTCCTAGGGCGAACCTTATGTTTATGTTGGCCCTAACCCTAACCCTGGGAACATAAGACCATTTGTCATTTGTTCATTAATCTGAGGACCATAGGACCCTGTGAAGAACATAGGAATGACTACCTAGATAAAGCCGGAGTTTGTCATAAAATGATTGAATATTAACTTTAAAAACGCAGCTGGTGGTCTGTAGATCTTCAATTTGTGTTGGGTGTGTACAATCTCAGAAACAGGATTCAGGTCATTGAACAGACTTTAAGACTGGTTTCTATGGTAGAATACCAGCTTCTAAGCAAAGAGAAAACAAAAAGACAAAAAATTATAAAAATACACAAAAATAAAAATAAAAAATAAATGAGAAAAAAACAATTTGAGGCAGTCTGCTTATGCAGTGTTGTTATTAAGTAATATGATTAAAAAATGTTTTCTTTTTTTAAATAAAATAAATATAAATATTAGATGGAAAAACTTCAACATGAAAAGGCTTATTTATTCATTTTTTTAAATTATATCGCATTAAAAACAAACTGAAATTAAATAAGTTAAATTACTAAAATATAAATAAATAAAGCTAAATTGAAATTTATAAAATAAGAAAAATAACAAAATCACATAAAATTACAAAAATTAAAATGTTAAATATAAAACCTAATTCAAAAAAATGAATAAATACTACACATAATACTAAAATAACACTGGTCTTATGATCACCCTATGACTTAACCTCCCTGTCAAATGCACCAGTAAAATGTTATAAGGTCAACAACACACATCTTACAGGTGACATTTGCATAGGAATTATGCAGTGTATGAAATTTAATTGTTTAAATTTCATGTTGTATGTTATATTATGTTGTATGTTGTATTTTCAAGGGGTTTTAATGGTCGGCAATTTCTGTCACCACCTCACATGACAACCTTCGGTCCAGACATTCGGGAGAGATTAGGGGTTCACACAGGAGGTACACCCTCCGTAAACAGCACCAAACAAAATGCCACTGCTTTCAATCACCATTAGACTGGTTGAGCAAGTCTTAATGTACATCATGGATCTGATCTGCAAGCTCCAAGGAACATTGCGGATCAGATTTCTTCTGTTTGAAAGTGATAGTTGAGAATATGGACTGCAGAGACTGAGGTTACTTGTAAGGAAAGTAATTAGAGACCACAAGAGTACACAAACAGTACAGGTTTTGGATTACTTGCTAGACTATTGTCCAGCATTCCTCCATCTTAAACTTACTTAAACAATAATGCAGCAAACATTATTATGTCAATATTTGAAATATGTGACCAAATGGCATTTGTTTACCAACTCATACTTCCCCATAGGAAATATGCAACGGAATGTTTTGAGTAAAGAAGGATGTGGGTGGAGCCAAATAAAGGCTGTTCCACTGAATTTAACACAGACTAGTAGAAATGACCCCCACCCCCCTACTTATGTTCTCTGAGGAGCAAGAAACAGAAAAGAAATCATTCAAACCAGTCATTTCAAGACCACTGAAGTGAAATTAATTACTCATCATGATGCTATAACTCAGCGGTTGGCATTCAGATAAAGAAAACAAAGGAAAGGGAGGGGGGATTAAAGCATGGATAGGAATAAGTGTTGCTAACATACCTGCCACATCATACCACTTTGCTCCATTTGTGATGCCATCCTTGAAGGTCTCACTTAAGTTTTCTTCACACTTCGGCTCCCCAGTTTTCATAACAGGGTTATTCTCTGCGTAAACCCGGGCCAAATAACTGAAGAGAGCATCATCGGGCGATCTGCTATAGGTGCCCTCTGTCTCATGGCCAGCTGAGTCATCATAAGGATAACTTGCCACCACTGTCCCACCATGCAGATTGCCAGACAGCACAAATCTAGAATCAGAGAATATCAGATGAGTTTTAATTAACCATTTAACATCTACTTCTCATACACTGGATTAAGACATACAAATATTATTAATAATAATTCAATTCAATAATTCAAGTAAAAAAAAAAACATTGTACAGCTGAATTAGAACAAAGTATATTTATAGAGATTACACATAAAAAAGTACAACAAAAAATAGTAATACATGAATAAGTTGTTTGTGATTGCTGGACTACTTTATTATTGTAAGTGCAATCTCTATAAAGTCTCAATCCAGTATTCATCACACAAACAACTAGAAAAACCATCTTAATGAATATAGAGCTCATCTAATTCAGCTCTATAATATTTATTTTTTTTCCTGATGATTATTAATATTATTACTATGGTAATAATTTACAACAAAGTTTTAATTGACAATGAAAAAACACTTAGTTAATGTTAATTTCAACATTTAAAACATTATTAAAATCAAAAGTCGTTTCTGATGCTTTTATTTAATGGACTCGAGCAACCATGAACTAATAATCAGTAAGGGTAAAGTCTTTCCGTGGTAATGGACATCTGTATTGTTATTACTACCATAAGAAATATTATTTATTACTGTAAAATGTTTAACACTCATTTTAGTAAATGTATTGTAAAGTAAAATCCTTACTATGATTCAGAAAAGTGAAATATTGTAGAGCTGAGCTGAATTGGAAAAACGTACATTTATTTAGATAATAATTTGCTAGATTTTGCAGGCAAAATACTCAGATTCCTGCAAAACCTGTTGGGAAATATAACATGGTCGCTGTGTTTTTGAAAAGGGCAGAAGGTTTTTTTAATTGGTTTAAGGTGATCTTTAAGATGGATTTTCTAGCAGTTCTTCTGGCAGAAAAAGTTGGGTTCGGTTTGTGAATGGTCTTACTTGTTCTCCAGGATCCACTTCATGACAGCAACACCTTCAGGGTTGTCTTCTGCTTTCACGTCTACCTCTTCAAACTGGTCTGGGAAACTTCTATTGAGGTCGATGTTTTTAGCATTATGCCGACCCTCATCTCTGCCCGTACAATCCCCCTCAACAGACTTCTCAAATCCGTCAGGGTTCATGCTCGGCATGATATAAATATCGGTGGTGTTGAGTAGCTCTGTGACCCGCTGATCTTCTCCGTACTTCTCCAGCAGATACTCCAGTAAGTAGATCAGGACCTGTCGGGACACGGTCTCGTCTCCGTGCATGTTACCCACGTACTTGAATTTGGGTTTTCCTGGTCCATCAAGAGTGGGGTCCTTGGTGATTCTCATTACCCATAGCTCCCTGTTCTCCACTGATTTGCCGATGCTGGTCAGATTTGCGATGTTTGCGTATCTCTGGGCGAGACTTTTAAGAAGGTCAGTAAGTTCGGTGTAATTATAGTATTTATTGTAAGTCTCTGGCTCCTGCTCGCCGAGAGGAGCTGAGTTGATGGAGCTGATATAAACAACAAGCAGAGATAAAACCAACAGCGGGAGTTTATGCGATGAACACAAGTTGTTTACCAAATGTCCCGACATGTTTCCGAAGGCACCTTGACGTATACATGAAATCTTATAAATTGGTCCACCCGGAGTCAGGTTCTTTCTTTAGCCTGACGTCGGGGTATTTGGATAAGAACTTCCTGCTAATGCTTTAACAAAGGGCGGAGTTTTCATGACAGCCGGAGTAGTTTCAAAATAAAAGTCACGACTAACAATCAGATTTCTGCCGTTCGGCTGGAAATGAGAACATGCTGATGTCTGTATTTAACTATTTTAATTACAGAATAGTCGTTGGTTTAATTGATGGTCAGCCAAGTGGACCAACCAATGATCACCATGGACTAGTTTGTTATGTTTATGTAAAATAGGTAATTGTGGAGTTATTAATGTTTTAACGGCAACAACTGTGACTGTTCTCTTTCAAAAAGACAGAGATGCCTTTTTAGATCTGTGAAAAACTTTTAAAAATTCTTCAAGGCCTGAAACCTGAGACAACAAGGCTTTAGGCCTAAAATATGTAGCAGTTCTGAAAAATTAGCATAGTAATACAACTTAAATTAAACTAACATTTATACTGATATTTTTAATCATACTTTGATTTCTTCTCTTAACAACTCGTTTTTATTGAACTACAGATGAATATCAAAGTCAATTCTTTTTCTTGTCTTTTTTTGATAAATAATAAAAAAGATTGAAAACAAGCAGCTTTGCAATCCTTATGGCAGTAGATGGAAATAGATATAGGTGACAACTGAGGTTCCCAAACCTTTGTTTTTAACTCTACAAGTATAGATTAAAACAAGTAGCTAAAATAATTATAAATAACTTTTCCATTTTTAATACATGGTAGTCATGTAGCAAAACACCCTTAAAGAAGTTTAAAGAGCTGTATAATACTCAGGCACCCTACACTTTTTAAATAATCAATTCACCTGACTTTTCCAGTCATTTGTAGATTACTGGACACAGATTAAGAATACTAGTTTTTCTCAATTTCTACCCAGTAATGCCTGGCATAACAAATATATATACAGTCTTGGAAAACCAGCCAGGTTTTCCAAGACTGTGGGAACTCTGGTTCTTCAAAAGAACAGGAAAATCAGTTGTTGGAGGGGTAAATTAAATATCTTGATTATTTTAAATCATCTTAAGACATCGTTTGAGAACCATGTCATTGGTTCAGTAAATAATTTCTTTGAATGTTAAATATGTGTATAGACTGAATGAATACACATCATACAATGCATATATACTGTACAACTCCTTTTACCAAATTCAAATACATTTCTTCCTCCTGAAAGACCAAAACAGAAAAATTCACTTCATAAAACATTAGAAATTCCTCCAACTCATCCTCCAAAAACACATTATATGTAGAAATAAATGAGAAAGGAAAACATTTTGAGTGCAAAAGAGGTGGTTAAATATTTTACTTGAGGCAGTTTTATTTAAGTTAATTGTTAATTCCATGCTGTTTCGTTGTAATACAGATTCTAAGTCTGTGGTTCCAGTCAGATATCCAGTAGTACAAACTAATTTCAAGTTAACAAAGTACAGAAGAAATTATATGCATTATGCAGATTCATAGGGGGGAGAAGAAAAATAGACTATTTCATGTACTCATGCAGGCTTAAAATCAACTTTATTAGTGCTTTTTTTTCCTTTTTCTTTTTGAGACATGGAGACCTGCATTTGTCTTAGTTCTAAAAGCAACACGGCTCCTTCAGTTGTATAGAGCTGCAGCCATCCACCCATCATCATCATCATCAGCCTATGTGAGTAATACAGTATTTTAGCACAAATTACAGTCCAGACCACTGGTAAATGTTACTACATAACTACTTGGTGATGTTAAGCATTTTGCTCCACATGGATATCAAGAAATTTGCTTTGACTTTCTCTGAAAAACTAAATTAACAAAAAGAGCACTTTGTTTAGACTTGCCCTTTTAAAGGTTTAATTGTTTTCTTTAACTGCATCGTATAATTGCACTAACACAGAAATATTACAGCTCAAACCACTAATAGTAGACATATCAGTAATAGTAATAAAAGTTAATTTCTGTAATTACATTAAGAAAAACTCAAAATATATCCAGCAACTGATAAAAATGTTGAGAAATAAAGCAAATGAACATAAAAAAAAAAAAAAAATTGTACCAGGACAAAAAAAAAAAAAAAAGTTCTGACCATTCAAAAAATCATAATTGAAGTTTGTTTCATGAGTGGTATATTTTATTTCAATTTAAGGGCTAATAAAACAGAATAATATTAAAAATCAAACAAAGGGAGGGAAAACTGGAGGCATCAAGCTGTTGAGTGCCACTCATAAGGTTGGGTTCAGTTGCTCCCTTTGTGAGTGGGGTCTGGGGAAGGGGAGGGGGAGTGGGGTGGAGTCTCATATTGGCTGTGTTGTCTCATTGGTTTTCATCCTCCACATCTTGCAGCGCCTCTTTATTCTGTTCCTCACCTGTGCACAGAGAGAAACAAAGCCATTGTTATTGCACTGCACCACAATTGTGTGTCCCTTAAAGAAATCCATGTGTGATGCGTTGTGCATTTTCGCACATCATCATCAAGTTTGCAACCCTTGCAAGATACTGTGCATTAGGAGTTTGCCAAATAAAATGCTATAAAAAGCAAAAAAATAAATCAATAGTGAAGGACTAAATACATGCTGTGAGAAACATAAACTTTATCTATAGTGTTACAAAAATAGAATGTCATTTTCAAGCTCAAAAAAAAAAAAAAAAAAAAAAATTGGCTTAAGTCTAATTTGAATGCAGTGTTATCTCATACGGTCATTTAATTGTCACACGTAATTCAGTTCCCAAACCAAAGGATAAGACCTTTAGACACCTGTACCGTACATTTCTTAGGAAAACATACCAGAATTTCTCAAATTCCTATATATTGGTACAACACAGCCATTCCAATTGGACAGAGGATCTGGCAGTGATCATGCAGAAACAGTTTGTTTCAGACATGCTGCACATATTGCACTCTGGTGGCTACAAAGATAGCAACACAAAGCTTACAAACAGGTGAGTGATGATGCAATTTGTGGACAAAAAGGCAAATGCTGGAAAAAAGTGGCCTCACTTACAAATAAAGTTTGTGGGCATTTAACATTTTCCTTTAGGAATCTAAATAGTGGGGATGAAAAAAGGCAAGATGGGTTAAGTTGGACGGCATGAGGTTGGACACATTACAAGATGACATGAAATGTAGTAGAGAAAGATTAGACCGTTGGTTTTGCAAAGAAATGCAGTGATGCACACTAGGTCAGTATATACTTTTGAAAACAATAGAGGAACATCAAAAAGGTTTAAAAGCTATATATATATATATATATATATATATATATATATATAAAAAAGCTTTCGGTCTTATTTCAGGGGTAGGACTGTATATCTTGGATGCACTACATTGCATATGTAAAAGGTTTATGCAATAACATTAAAAACCACTACACTATACTGAGAAAAAGAACTTCTGGTGGATGAATTTAAATAAAATATTTTGTAAATCATACCTAGGGATGTTTGCATGAACAATTTTACTTTCAAAGTAGCCAGACCCCTTCATTTTAACTCTTCTTTTAGAGGTAGATATTAGAGATGCCTCACAAGTCCTAAATCGGGACACTCTGAAACAATCGCTCTAAAAATAGACTTGGTTTGTGGTGGAGCTCTTGAGGATGTCACCTTCATGTACCAATGGGATTCAAAGACATGTTTGTCAAGCTTAACATCTGAAACGGCAAGAAAGATAATGCGTCTTACCATCTCCCTGCATATCTGAAGTCCATAGTGTCAGGTTATCACGTAACAACTGCATGATGAGTGTTGAGTCCTTGTAGCTTTCTTCACTCAATGTGTCCAGTTCAGCAATAGCATCATCAAATGCCGCCTTTGCCAACCTAAGATCCACACAAAAACTATTATTACGTTTCAACATACAAATGAACAGGAATACATTGCAATAAATAATACCATCTTGTTCAGATAAGTAGCCAAACACAATCTAAAAGCTGTAGATGGCACAATATTCATACAAATTAAATAAGAATATGATTGATGCACGTTTGCAAAAGTTTTATAGTCTGCTGTGCTTAAAGCAAAACGATTTGAACACTGAAAACAAACCTGCACGCGCGGTCGGGAGAGTTGAGGATTTCATAGTAGAATACGGAGAAGTTAAGAGCCAGACCCAAACGAATAGGGTGTGTAGGCTGAAGGTCTGTCATTGCAATATCACTAGCAGCTTTGTAAGCAACCAAACTGTTTTCTGCAGCCTCCTTCCTGTCATTTCCTGTGGCAAACTCAGCAAGATACCTGTGGTAATCACCCTTCCTGAAGCATCAAAGGAAGAAAAGGTCTGTTTAAAACATGTATAAATAAAGCTGTGACCTCATTGTGTCACATTCGATTCAAACTTAGATTCACTTAGGAAAAACGAATAGCTTTCATACATTTTGTAGTAGAAGACCTTGGACTCTCCTGAATTTGCAGCTGGGATTAGGTGCTTGTCCAATACATCGAGGATGTCATTGCAGATTGATTTCAACTCATTTTCAACCTGAACATGAAAATGTAAAGGTTAAAAGCATAAAACGCATCATATTCCAGTGATGTTAATGAATGCTAGTTAGCGCACATCTTACCGTTTGCCTATATTCCCGAATCATTTTCAATTTGTCCTCCCCTCCCTTATTCTCCTCTTTCTGCTCGATACTACTGATTATCCTCCAGGATGCTCTTCTTGCCCCAATAACGTTCTTATAGGCCACGGAGAGGAGGTTTCTCTCTTCAACTGTTAGCTCAACATCCATCCCAGCCACTTTCTTCATGGAGTCAACCATTTCTGGAAAATTGAAAATAAATGTGATGGACATTTTGCTTATTGGATTTAATCACAGCCAGAAAGCAGAATATGAGTCACAACTATGGCAAAAATAAGTACACATTTTATTTGCCAGTTACATAGCAAAGAGTCCAACGGGTTCTGGGATTTTAAAAAAATAACCCCATTCATTTCCTCCATTGGGGAATTCATAAAGCATGATAACGTGGGCAGCCACTGTTACACTCCATGTGGTAGAGCTGCACGATTAATTGTTAATATAAATCTCAAATCAAACACCC